GTCATCTTCTTCCACTGAAGTCCCAGCAAATAGTCAACAGAGGTGCCAATGCACACTTACCACTGTGCGAACCTGCCAGGGTCTCTCCATCCTCGGCCGGACACAGCCAGGCTCCTTTGCATGGCAGCTCTGGCCCTGCATGATCTGGCTCCTTTATTCCTCTCCAGGAGTCAATCTCTTTTCATCTCAAACTCTGCCTTCCGGCAACACTAAACTGCTCAAGTGACTGCCCACCATGCTATTCCATGCCTCCTCAATCCTCAACTTGTGGTGTACTCTGTAGTTGAAAAATGTCTTTAACTCACGCATCTTTCATTCGTCCATCCTCCCTAAACAAACTCAACACTTTTGCCAAGTATTCCCCAGAGCTCCATGTCTGTGACCAACTAGCTCCCTGCACCTACCCTCCCCCACTCTTATAGAGGTCTGTGCCCTCCTTTGACCTGTTTGGCATGTTTCTATCATTACATGTTACACTGTTTCTCTTTATCCTTTTGTATTATAACCATCTGTACCTCTGTCTCTCTCCTCCACTAGATGTGACCCCTTGAAGCAGGAATAGTTTTTCTGTATCAGAGCCTGATGCCCTGCACATAGTAGGTCAAAGAGTATGCTATTCAAATGAATGAAAAATAAAACGGGCGAAGAGGCTTACTACTCTATGGGTTTAGTTCAAGGCAGACCTTGGAATCCTTCCACTAGCAAAGGAACTAAGATTAAATAATCTGTTGGGGAATCTCTGGCCACTTGTTCCGTCACTGCAATGGAGTGCTTTCCATGAGTAGAGGCATTTCTCATGGGGGGCCTGGGGTAATCCATTCCCCAATAAACAAAGAAAATGAGAAGTCAACACTTTAGAGGGAAAAAAACTGCTGCCAATTCCACACTTTGAGTAATAGTATTTCCTCTCTGTGGTCTATGCTTTACTGTTTGTTTGCTTTTTCTCTCACAGCATTAAAAATGGTCTTGAATTATCTTTGATCTTCTTTCAGTGGATAGCAATTGAAAAGGAAAAAAAAAAGCACAGTAGATGAAGGGAAATAAAATTTTTAATATGTTAATGAAATAGTTTTCTCACAAAGAAATGGAGGTAAAGAGGTTTATTTTTTAAACTCATTTGATTATCCTAAATTCAATAGGTATGTTATTGCCAAACTCTTCCTTTTAAAAGACATGTCATCTAATAACATCTAATATTAATATATCTTTTATTTGTTCAGAGTAAATAAAACACCACTGGTAATTACCACTAGAAGTTTTATGAATGTGGTTGCATTGCTTACAGAATTTGATTAAGCTTTGGATCCTCGTGTACCTATTCTGGTCTAATGAGATGGCCTTAAACATATCTCAGAGAATTTCTTGGGCAGAAGCACTTTCTAAGAAATCAAAGTAAGGAAAGAATTCAGAGGTATTTTTGTTTCATTTCCCTTGAAAGATTTAGCTGCACATTTACCATATGTATTTGTTTATTACATTTGATTTGAATGTGAGAAATTAAAGAAAAATGTCATCAAAATAATTTCCAAAAAACTATGCCCTTCATAAGAAGAAAAAGTACAGATACGGCAGCTAACAATTACTTGTGAAATATTTGTGCTGCTGACTTAGGATCTTTACTACAGGTGAATGGATGAAATACAGTTGGGTACAGAGGCATATTAAAAAAAAAAAGGGAAATTAAGATAACTAGAGTAGGCAGACTAATGCCCCCCAGAGAGAGATGTCCACATCTTAATCATCAGAACCTGTCAATATGTTTTGTTATATGTCAAATTAAGGAATTAAATTTATAGATGAAATTAAGTTTGCTAATCATCTGACTTTAAAAGAGGTTGTCCTACTTTATCCATATGGGCCCAGTGTACTCACAAGAGTCCTTAAAGGTGGAAGAGGGGGCAGAAAAGGAGGTCAGAGTTACAGAGAGATTTGAAGATGCTAAGCTCTGGCTTAGATGATGGAGGAAGGGACCCCAAGTCAAGGAATGCAGGCAGCTTTCAAGCTAGAGCAGGCCAAGAAATGGATTCTCCCCTTGAGCCACCAGAGAGGAACATATTCCTGCTGACACCTAGATTTTAGCCCAGTGAGACTTCCAACTTAGCAGACTGAAATAAATTTATAGTGTTTGTGGTAATTTGTTACAGCTGCAATAGAAAATTAATACAAGTACATTCATACAATATAATACTATAGTCATCAGAAATAATACTTAAGAAGAATACCTAGGGCTTCCCTGGTGGCGCAGTGGTTGAGAGTCTGCCTGCTGATGCAGGGGACACGGGTTCGTGCCCCGGTCCGGGAAGATCCCACATGCCGCGGAGCGGCTGGGCCCGTGAGCCATGGCTGCTGGGCCTGCGCGTCTGGAGCCTCTGCTCCACAGTGGGAGAGCCCACAACGGTGAGAGGCCCACGTACCGCAAAAAAAAAAAAAAAAAAAAAAAAAAAAAAGAAGAATACCTAATGATGTGGGAAGTATTCATGGTATATTGTTAGGACAGAAAATCAGATAAGGAAACACCATATACAGTAAAATCAAACAGAAGAATGTTCATATACCTGTTTAGATAAGCTCTGAAAGATATACTATAAAATGTTATTCATGGTTCTCTATGGCTGCTGGGATTATCTTTCCTTCTTTTCCTGTATTTCTCAAGTTTCTTTTGCAATCTGAAAACAAAATTAAATGTTGAAAATGATTGACCTTAAAACTGGAGATAGGTTAATCTACTAGTCGCATTTTTATCTCCTTTCAAAATATTTTTAAGAAAGGAGATTTTAATCATATTTAAATGGCAAACTCCTATAGGTTAGCTTGTGCTCAATCTTTACCAAATTTCTGCATCTCAAACACAATTTAAAAGATAAACAGTATGTTAATGTATTGTTTACCTGCTTTATTTTTGGAACTTTTTCTTTACAAACTAAACTTTTGAAACCTGGGCTGTACGAAATTAGAAAATATTTTTGACATAGAAAGATAAGTCTTTGAATGGTATTTGTGTTAATGGTACCAGGATTAATCAAAAGAACAAAATAGCACCCGCCTAAGACTGAAATCTCAGGTGAACAAACTTACCTTTGCGGGTTCAGCTGGATAATCCCTTTTCTCTTTCCTTACCGGATTCACTACTGGCACCCATCATTGTCTTTTTCTTTTTATATAAATTTATTATTTATTTATGTTTGCGTCGGGTCTTCGTTGCTGCACGCAGGCTTTCTCTGGTTGCGGTGAGCGGGGGCTACTCTTCGTTGCAGTGTGCAGGCTTTTCATCATGGTGGCTTCTCTTGTTGCGGAGCACAGGCTCTAGGCACACGGGCTTCAGTAGTTGTGGCTCACGGCCTCTAGAGTGCAGGCTCAGTAGTTGTAACGCACGGGCTTAGTTGCTCCGCGGCATGTGGGATCTTCCCGGACCAGGGCTTGAACCTGTGTCCACTGCATTGGCAGGCGGATTTTTAACCATTGCGCCACCAGGGAAGTCCCCATTGTCTTTTTTTTTTTTTTTTAAAAAGTCACTGCCTTTTCTTCCTGCTTTATGTATTTGATTTTCATTAGTGGTGGGCTTTATTGTAGTTCTTTATATTTGTAGAGAACATAACTTAAAGGAAATTAAACTTCTATAAGTGGGATAAAACTCTCCGTGTTTAGTCAGATCGTTTATTTGATGTCATAACTATTATTTAACTACACAAATAAAACTGCTAAACTTTAGCATAAACAGGCCTGGTTCCAAGTCAGTGCAGAATGTTAAGGATTTAGTACCTGGGAGGCAACAGATTGTAGCGACCAATAGCGGGTGCTCCAGCGCTAGGCCTACCTGGGTCAAATAATGGCTTCAAGTTCTCTCTAGCTCGGTGCTCCTGGCGGCAAGTTACTTCATTTTCTCGAGCCTTCTTGTAAAATGGAAAGTGACTATCCCGATCTCCTAGTGTTATTGTGAGAATTAAAGGAAATACAATGCCTTTACCATGTGTAAATAATCAGTAAACAGTGGCTATCGTTCCTGGAATGCCCTTTTTACCAAGTGTTGTTCCTTAACACAATTTAAGAAAATTCAGTAGCTGCTTGTGTTTGCATTCTCTGTGGTTACTTCAAGGAATGTTTTCTTATTAAGTGTGATAAAGTAATACATATGTGACAAGAAACTGCTGCTGTATGAAAAGCTGTCAGAAGTGGCAGAAAATTCTATTTGACCTCCGTGTTTATGAGAGTTTTATATCACCTCATTTGAATGAGAATATGAACCTGCACCCAATTTCTCCAGAATGCTTTATAAAGGAGGTGTGATCTCTATTCTCTTGTGACAGAGGGTTAAAAAGGACCAGAGTGTTTTCAGGTACAAGTTACAAAGGAAAAGGAAAGCAACATGGTATTTTGTTTTGGCCTTTGAGCTCTCCCCTGGAAACAATGGGAATCCTGGTACCCTATTCTTTTACATAAATGTGCAAAAAGCAGAAGATGTGGGGGGAATTTACTCCTTGGTGGATGGATGTGGGAGTATAAGTGAAGATGAAAATGAAATGAAAACAAGAGCACCTTGCTGGAACTCCCTTTCTCTAATCCATTTGCTTTACTATCGCTATTAAGGATTTTTTATGTATAGGCTGATCTCAAACCGGGGTGTTACTTTGTTAAATAGTAACCATGCCAAAGCTTCCAATACTCTTACGACAAAACCCAAAGCATAAACAGGCACTTAAAACAGGTATGTTTCTCCCAAAATGTTAAATTAGGAGTGACTAAAAGAGCCAGATTACTCATGAAAAATGGGGAATAAAACATAAATTCTTAAATCAGATTTAAACAATCAGATGAAATACCCATGGTTTGCTAATCTGCTTTACCCCTTCTTGGAATAAATTATTTATTAGACTGAATGTGGAAGCTCTGGGGGACCTTGGGATGTTCTTGAAATATGTTTGAACTGTCAATTTTGTGCTAAATGTAGGTATAAAATAACATTTCATATCATTCAGAAAGTTTATAAGGTTTCACAATCAGTGTTTTAACACAGAAATCTGTTTATTAAACCCAACAAAACAGAGAAAATTATACCAGCCCTCAGTTTTTGAATTTTCATTTAAATAAGCAAACTCTAAATCCACACCTTAAAAGATGTTTGTGCATCTATGTATTTCCAAAATACTCATATTTCAATAAGATTTTCACATTATATTCACCAACAGTATCACAAAAGTTCTTTTTTGTTTTTTTGTTTTTTGTTTACGTAACTGTAAGGAACAGTAATTCTAGAAACACTAGAAGAAAAGAGCATAGCAATGTCCACAGTTACAAGAAAAAGTGCACATTACTTGGTCACAATCACAGTCATTACTTGAAAAACTATAGGTAACAAGTAGTTAAGAGATATCACTGATGTCTTCAACTTATCAAAAACCAAATGACATAAATTTTACATGAAATAAGGCAAATTCAGGAATGCACAAAGAACCTGTAATCCAACCGAAGCCAAACAACAGAAAAAAATTGTACAAGAAGCGTAAACTGATGTACTCCTCCCTAAATATTTAAAAAATAGGCTTGCCTCAGTGCACAAAGAAAACACCATTCATGTGTATTCAACACTATAAAATCAGGAAGAAGGGCAAAATATGGGGAAGAGGAGGGGACAGTTCATTGTAGATTGCAGCTGCATCCACTGAGAGTTCTTTACATCATTTTTACCTACAACTGTAAATTATACAAATTATATCAGGAGAGGTAATGGTCTTTTTGGGAACTATTTCTGAAAGAGAGAAAAGAAAACTACACACAAGAGTGCAAATTTTCAGATTGTCACTTGCAACCTCTTTAACATTCAGTCATCGACATCCAATGGCTGCTAGAGGGATGCCCATAAGACAGCAGCGGCAATCTGGGGAGAGCAGCTGTAAGAAATCAAGGTGTCATTTTTTTTTCAATGATATGTCTTTTTCAATATTAAAAAATTCTGTGGTGAAAACCGCTATGGTAAAGCTGCAATGGTGAGTGGGATGCTTGAGACCAGCATGAGTGCAGAAACGCAGGCTTCTCTTGGAAGTAGTTCCTGATGCGACGATTTAAAGAACGTAGGCAAGGGTATTTTTTTCCCCCAGCATCAAGTGTTATTTTTGTAGAAAGAATTTGGAAAGAGGAGAAGGCAAAGGGAGGTGGAAAAGGTACTTACAGTAGTTTCTCAAAACAGTTTTCTTTTAGGACCTATGAAAAAGTTACCAAAGTAAAAATGACAATTCTGAATGAAAAACAAGTTTTCTTTTTATAAAAATTACATATTTTTTTAAAATACAAGATCCTTTTCATTGTTATATCCTGTAGCAATGAGAAATTTTGGCTTTTATTTTTTGCCAGATACTGCAGCTTTCAGTCCAGTAAGTCAGTAGCAAATTCCACTAATATTTCAGTTGGATCTTGAACTACTTTTTATACCACAAGCTTCTTCTGTTTTATCCTTGAATTAGGAATATACAGCCTTTTTTTTTTGCCCCAGGTATTTATGCTGGCACACTGAAACAAAAAACAGTAGGCTGGACACATTAAAGTATCTCAAGTACTTCAGAGGCCAGAGTTCCTTTGAAGCACCTAAACACATCACTTTATGGATCAAGGACAATGTGGCATAATGGAAATATTTCTCTTAAGACTGTGCAGTAAGACCAGACGCATCTCTGCTGGGAAATCAAAACGTCATTAGTGGAAACTGCAAATTTAAACCTCAGTGAAGAGGATCGTCGCTGGACTCAGTTCTGTTGTAAAATAAGATTTTCCAGTTCATCTGCAGAACGCAATAAAAATGCAGCGGATTCCCGATATCCTGCAACCAGCTGTCTCACTGCATTGATTTCAGTTGGACTCAGCTGGGGTCTGGAGCTCGAACTGCTGGAGGATCCTGAGCTGGTCGCCAACTGCCTCTTCATGCTGAGATCAGTGGGTCCTAGAAAAAATCAGCACAAATTAGACATGGACAATTTTTCTTCTAGTATCTTGAACATGAGCACTAAATAAATTAGTGTTGATTTAATTCACCTATTCTTTCATGAGAAGCTACTGATACCCTTAATCAAATACATCTGCTCTCAGAAAGATGGAAGAGCAGCAGGATGGGAAAAGAGTGGCTGGATTTTCTTAGACTCCTGGCGCAGACTCTGGCGGTCACTTCTGATTGTATAAAGACAGTGAAGAAATTCTCTTAACATGTGCTTTTTGGAAAATTCAATGTTAAGTCCACCTTCCACAAGTAGAAGCTTCTCTGGAGTAGTAGAAAATGATGGAATCCATTTTTTATTTGCTACATTCGATAACAAATAATTTGGACCCCACCAATTCAGAAATGAAAAGAGCCTACATGGTGAGGCTAATGACCCTAGATCACAAACTTTTCAATTTAGAACAGAGAAAACTGAGGACTGCGGGGGTTCGATGACACGTTTAGAGGTCAATAACTTTTAAGTGGCACAATAGGGACGTGAATTGCATATTTTTTTCATTTCAGGCCACTGCTTTTTCCACCAATTGATTAGTATTTAAAAATGTGAATATATTAGACTGAAGTTTGCTTTCAAAGTGTATTGTAAGTATATGATTAGTACAAACCATACCACAAAGAAACTAGACTTGGAATACTGCTTTAGGGTTTTTTTTTTTTTAAACATCTTTAGTGGGGTATAATTGCTTTACAATGGTGTGTTAGTTTCTGCTTTATAACAAAGTGAATCAGTTATACATATACATATGTTCCCATATCTCTTCCCTCTTGGGTCTCCCTCCCTCCCACCCTCCCTATCCCACCCCTCCAGGCGGTCACAAAGCACCGAGCCGATCTCCCTGTGCCATGCGGCTGCTTCCCACTAGCTATCTACCTTACATTTGGTAGTGTATATATGTCCATGCCTCTCTCTCGCCCTGTCACAGCTTACACTTCCCCCTCCCCATATCCTCAAGTCCGTTCTACAGTAGGTCTGTGTCTTTATTCCTGTCTTACCCCTAGGTTCTTCATGACATTTTTTTTCCTTAAATTCCATATATATGTTAGCATACGGTATTTGTCTTTTTCTTTCTGACTTACTTCACTCTGTATGACAGACTCTAGGTCTATCCACCTCATTACAAATAGCTCAATTTCGTTTCTTTTTATGGCTGAGTAATATTCCATTGTATATATGTGCCACATATTCTTTATCCATTCATCCAATGATGGGCACTTAGGTTGTATCCATGTCCTGGCTATTGTAAATAGAGCTGCAATGAACATTTTGGTACATGACTCTTTTTGAATTATGGTTTTCTCAGGGTATATGCCCAGTAGTGGGATTGCTGGGTCATATGGTAGTTCTATTTGTAGTTTTTTAAGGAACCTCCATACTGTTCTCCATAGTGGCTGAACCAATTCACATTCCCACGAGCAGTGCAAGAGTGTTCCCTTTTCTCCACACCCTCTCCAGCATTTATTCTTTCTAGATTTTTTGATGATGGCCATTCTGACTGGTGTGAGATGATATCTCTTTGTAGTTTTGATTTGCATTTCTCTAATGATTAATGATGTTGAGCATCCTTTCATATGCTTGTTGATAGTCTGTATATCTTCTTTGGAGAAATGTCTATTTAGGTCTTCTGCCTATTTTTGGATTGGGTTGTTTGTTTTTTTGTTATTGAGCTGCATGAGCTGCTTGTAAATTTTGGAGATTAATCCTTTGTCAGTTGCTTCATTTGCAAATATTTTCTCCCATTCTGAGGGTTGTCTTTTGGTCTTGTTTATGGTTTCCTTTGCTGTGAAAAAGCTTTGAAGTTTCATTAAGTTCCATTTGTTTATTTTTGTTTTTATTTCCATTTCTCTAGGAGGTGGGTCAGAAAGGATCTTGCTGTGATTTATGTCTTAGAGTGATCTGCCTATGTTTTCCTCTAAGAGTTTGATAGTTTCTGGCCTTACATTTAGGTCTTTAATCCATTTTGAGCTTATTTTTGTGTATGGTGTTAGGGAGTGCTCTAATCTCATACTTTTACATGTACCTGTCCAGTTTTCCCAGCACCACTTATTGAAGAGGCTGTCCTTTCTCCACTGTACATTCCTGCCACCTTTATCAAAGATAAGGTGTCCATATGTGCATGGGTTTATCTCTGGGCTTTCTATCCTGTTCCATTGATCTATATTTCTGTTTTTCTGCCAGTACCATACTGTCTTGATTACTGTAGCTTTGTAGTATAGTCTGAAGTCAGGGAGCCTGATTCCTCCAGCTCCGTTTTTCGTTCTCAAGATTGCTTTGGCTATTCGGGGTCTTTCGTGTTTCCATACAAATTGTGAAATTTTTTATTCTAGTTCTGTGAAAAATGCCAGTGGTAGTTTGATAGGGATTGCATTGAATCTATAGATTGCTTTGGGTAGTAGAGTCATTTTCACAATGTTGATTCTTCCAATCCAAGAACATGGTATATCTCTCCATCTGTTTGTATCATCTTTAATTTCTTCCATCAGTGTATTATAATTTTCTGCATACAGGTCTTTTGTCTCCTTAGGTAGGTTTATTCCTAGATATTTTATTCTTTTTGTTGCAATGGTAAATGGGAGTGTTTTCTTGATTTCACGTCATTAGTATATAGGAATGCCAGAGATTTCTGTGCATTAATTTTGTATCCTGCTACTTTACTAAATTCATTGATTAGCTCTAGTAGTTTTCTGGTAGCATCTTTAGGATTCTCTATGTATAGTATCATGTCATCTGCAAACAGTGACAGCTTTAATTCTTCTTTTCCGATTTGGATTCCTTTTATTTCTTTTGCTTCTCTGATTGCTGTGGCTAAAACTTCCAAAACTATGTTGAATAATAGTGGTGAGTGTGGGCAACCTTGTCTTGTTCCTGATCTTAGTGGAAATGCTTTCAGTTTTTCACCATTGAGGATGATGTTGGCTGTGGGCTTGTCATATATGGCCTTTATTATGTTGAAGAAAGTTCCCTCTATGCCTACTTTCTGCAGGGTTTTTATCATAAATGGGTGTTGAATTTTGTCAAAAGCTTTCTCTGCATCTATTGAGATGATCATATGGTTTTTCTCCTTCAATTTGTTAATATGATTTATCACACTGATAGATTTGCGTATATTGAAGAATCCTTGCATTCCTGGAGTAAACCCCACTTGATCGTGGTGTATGATCCTTTTAATGTGCTGTTGGATTCTGTTTGATAGTATTTTGTTGAGGATACTTGCATCTATGTTCATCTGTGATATTGGCCTGTAGTTTTCTTTCTTTGTGACATCCTTGTCTGGTTTTGGTATCAAGGTGATGGTGGCCTCGTAGAAGGAATTTGGGAGTGTTCCTCCCTCTGCTATATTTTGGAAGAGTTTGAGAAGGATAGGTGTTAGCTCTTCTCTAAATGTTTGCTAGAATTTGCCTGTGAAGCCATCTGGTCCTGGGCTTTTGTTTGTTGGAAGATTTTTAATCACAGTTTCAATTTCAGTGCTTGTGATTGGTCTGTTCATATTTTCTATTTCTTCCTGATTCAGTCTTGGCAGGTTGTGCATTTCTAAGAATTTGTCCATTTCTTCCAGGTTGTCCATTTTATTGGCATAGAGTTGCTTGTAGTAATGTCTCATGACCTTTTGTATTTCTGCAGTGTCTGTTGTTACTTCTCCTTTTTCATTTCTAATTCTATTGATTTGAGTCTTCTGCCTTTTTTTCTTGATGAGTCTGGCTAGTGGTTTATCTATTTTGTTTATCTTCTCAAAGAACCATCTTTTAGTTTTATTGATCTTTGCTATTGTTTCCTTCATTTCTTTTTCATTTATTTCTGATCTGATTTTTATGATTTCTTTCCTTCTTGTAGCTTTGGGGTTTTTTGTTCTTCTTTCTCTAATTGCTTGAGGTGCAAGGTTAGGTTGTTTATTCGGGATGTTTCCTGCTTCTTAAGGTGGGCTTGTATTGCTATAAACTTCCCCCTTAGAACTGCTTTTGCTGCATCCCATAGGTTTTGGGTCGTTGTGTCTCCATTGTCATTTTGTTTCTAGGTATTTTTTTATTTCCTCTTTGATTTCTTCAGTGCTCACTTCATTATTAAGTAGTGTATTGTTTAGCCTCCATGTGTTTGTATTTTTTAAAGATCTTTTCCTGTAATTGATATCTAGTCTCATGGCGTTGTGGTAGGAAAAGATACTTGATGCAATTTCAATTTTCTTATATTTACCAAGGCTTGATTTGTGACCCAAGATATGATCTATCCTGGAGAATGTTCCATGATTACTTGAGAAAAATGTGTATTCTGTTGTTTTTGGATGGAGTGTCCTATAGATATCAATTAAGTCCCTCTTGTTTAATGTATCATTTAAAGCTTGTGTTTCCTTATTTATTTTCATTTTGGGTGATCTGTCCATTGGTGAAAGTGGGGTGTTAAAGTCCCCTAATAGGAATGTATTACTGTCTATTTTCCCTTTTATGGCTGTTAGTATTTGCCTTATGTATTGGGGTGCTCCTATGTTGGGTGCATAAATATTTACAATTGTTATATCTTCTTCTTGGATCGATCTCTTGATCATTATGTAGTGTCCTTCTTTGTCTCTTGTAATAGTCTTTATTTTAAAGTCTATTTTTTCTGATATGAGAATTGCTACTCCAGCTTTCTTTTGTTTTCCATTTGCATGGAATATCTTTTTCCATCCCCTTACTTTCAGTCTGTATGTTTCTCTAGGTCTGAAGTGGGTCTGTTGTAGACAGCATATATAAGGGTCTTGTTTTTGTATCCATTCAGCCAATCTGTGTCTTTTGGTGGGAGCATTTAGTCGATTTACATTTAAGGTAATTATCGATATGTACGTTCCTCTTCCCATTTTCTAAATTGTTTTGGGTTATTATAGGTCTTTTCCTTCTCTTCTGTTTCTTGTCTAGAGAAGTTCCTTTAGCATTTGTTGTAAAGCTGGTTTTGTGGTGCTGAACTCTCTCAGTTTTTG